CTTCTACCATCATTTTACCCATTTGTTAATTAGCTATGTACATATTTACTAAACTGTAAGCACCACAAGAACAGAACATACCTAATGTTTTCATGGTTTCCTACACTTTCCTATACTGGAGAGGTACTTGCATTTTTTTAGCATCAAGCAGGGATTCATTGCACAGCGATCACATTTAATTGTAGATAGGGGTCATATATTTTCTACATTTTTTTTTAAGACATTTTTCATCTTATCATTACACTCTGATATAAATCCTGATGTTCCAGCTTCCTTCACCCTAACCACAAAACTTTGCATATGGTAAAATCGTGATAATTTTTAAAAAAGATTTATTTATTTATACAAGGACTGGGGTACAGGCCAGATGCGTGGTTGGGTGAGAGGATTCACCAGAGACAGAGCGGGGAACAGAACAGGCAGATGGACAAAATACACTGCTGAGGGGAGCAGCGGGCGAGACAGGAGAGCTCTGCAGTGCCATGTGGGACCCGCGCTATGTGAACCCGCGCTGGCCGGCTGGCCGGGATCGAACCGGCACTGCAGAGGCTGTGGACAGCTTCACAGAGCTGCGATCAACTGCCTGCACCATCAGGGGAGGCCCTCAACAATTTTTATAAAATTAACCAAAACAGTGCAGTGTCCTATGTGGTACACTCCTGATACCTTAAGATAAATCAAACTTAGAAAAACAATACTTCATTGCATGTGGACTGTATGAGAGATGTTATCAGTCATTAAAATATGTGGCATATTGAAAGACAGAAATAAAAGCTGAGATTGAGAATGGCATGGGTGGCAGTGACACCCACAAATAAAGGATAGGGCTAGGGGATACAGCAGGAGTGGATGGAGCTGGCAGCATGGTTGAGTCATGATCAGTGGCCTTGGTCTAAGTGATTGGGCTTTGGTCTGGAAAGGATACAAGATGACCCATGAGGAACCTCTTTGCCAAGCAGTTCTACTACAGACTTCAAAGTTATGGTAGGAGATGAGTTAATACTAAGATGGAAATAATATGAAGCACATGTGCAAGGTTTGGATGGCACAAATCTCAACTCTAATGAGGTAACTGGTCTATGGGAGTGTAAAGAAAACTTAAAGGGAGTCTGCATGCAGGGATAATTCTTGTGATGTGACTAGCCTGGGAGCAAAGCAAGTGTGCTCTACTCAGAGCCAGTTCCTTCAGCAAGCTCAACAGCCGACCTGCTGAGATCAACAATAGTAGACCCAGTGATCAACCTGTTTTTCTTTCAAATAAAAGGTGAACTGAAACAGACCAAGGACAACCTGGAACAAGCCCCAAATGAACTGAGTGCCTGGAAGTTTATGCCTGACAGAAGCCTGATGTCATCAGACTATTCTGAGGAAGTGGCCATCTCTGAAAAATTCTCCTTCTAGAATGTGTAGACCATTGAGAACTGTTTAAAGGAAACAGATGAGGAAACAGAAGCCTTAAGTCTCTAGCATGCTACATTGTCAGGCTGTTTGGAGGAATGAAAACCTACAGATTTAAAATGCCGAACTGAATAGGAAAATTTCAGTAAAATGTAAAAATCAAACACGTATTACTCTTGACCTAGAGCACGGTGACTTAGAGACGCTGTATATCAGTTTTGCTAATAAGACTGGACTTCATAATTGGTGTTAAACATATAGATCAAAACTCAAGTGTGGTGAATTTCACCATTAAAAGTTTATTTACTGGGCCTCTCTGGTGGCATAGGGGTTAAAGACAGCGCTGTGAAGCTATCACCAGCTACTGCAGCATGAGTTCGATCCCCCACTGGCCCGGAACAACACACATGGCGCAGCAGACCTCTCCTGACTCACCCACCCGTTGCTCCCCTCAGCAGTGTAATTCAGTAGATCGGCCTGATTTGCTCCCCACTCTGTCTCTGGTGAATCCTCTCACCCCCCACACCTCTGGCCTGTACCCCAGTTCTTGTACGCATAAATAAATGAATCTTTTAAAAAATAAAGGTTTATTTACTAAGAATCAACTTCATGGTCATGAGAGAATCAAATAACAGATGTCAGTAGAAGTAGTTGATATAGTTAACCATTTAGTTTGGGGCTCTCTTAATTAAACCTAAAATCAATGTGGTTTTAAACAAAGGTATGTTCTTTGAATGGTTACAAATACTGTAGAGAATCTCATTGAGCACATTACAAACATGAAGGTATGTGGCACCAGATCTGAGGCTCAAAGTATTTGCAGCATTATAAACATTCACTTCACAACCCGATTGCATATGGATATTAGCTGTGAAAGGGCTCACTCCTTCTTTCCTTCTGTAGTGAACTTTATTAAATCTCTATTCCATTCATGTGTGGTCGCTATGAGGATGACATTCAGCATCTCCTTCCAGTAGTCTCCCTCAACTACAGAGGAAAATTAAAGTCAACCTATGAGAGTCCCGTGCAGCTAAGGTTCTTAAGGTAATTTAATTCAATGAATTTAGCATTTATATGAGATTTGACAGAAGTGTAGCAGAGTTATACATTATTATGGTTCTAATGTCCATCGCTGGATTTATGGGTTCCAAGAGGGGGGTGCTGGTAACTTTAGCCAATATGCATTCTTGCAAATGTGGCATGGCAGCTGGCAGCAAAATTAGCATCCTGACCATGGTAGTTTCCAGAGTATGGGAGTGACAGTGCGTTCTTAAGACTTTGAGTTCTGCTGTGTGGCTTTGAAGTCATTATTGACAGTTCAACTTAAGCTGTATGTTTCCTCAATCCTTCCTATCCATGCAATCAGTCTAATGCCCTTAAGTAAATCTCTCTTTGCTTTAACTAGCTAGAGTGAATTCTGTTATCTGCAACTGAACTCTGACCCATCCTAAATACAACTTATATTTCCTTCTATAAAAGACCTCAAGTAATTCCTTAAGAATTACTTCTGTTAGGTAAGTTGCTTTCTACTCTTTTTTTTTTTTAAGATTTATATATTTATGCATACAAGAACTGGGGTACAGGCCAGTGGTGCTGGGAGCGGGGTGAGAGGATTCACCAGAGACAGAGTGGGGAATAGAACAGGCAGACTGACTGAAATACACTGCTGAGGGGATCAGCAGGAGAGACAGGAGAGGTCTGCTGTGCCATGTGGGTAGCTCCCTGGCCCGTAGATTGAACTCATGCTGCAGAGGCTGCAGAGAGCTTCACAGTGCAGTGTTGTGCTGTGCTTAACCCCTTGCACCATCAAGGAGGCCCTGCTTTCTACTTTTTACTAAAGACTATACTTCTAACTTTAAACACATTGGGGTCAAAATTATATCACAAAATGTATTATAGAAAATAAAACAGTCCCAAAATTATGCTCAGGTTTAGTTAGTTATATAGTCACTTTTTAAAGGTGAAATTATTGTCCAATGAAGTAAAATATCAAATTGCAAAAATTAAAAAAAAGCCTAAATTATTGACCTATTTCTCTGTAAATGAAGTGGTCTGTTTGTTACACCATTTAAAGATAAAGGTAATTTCTTTTCTTATATGGAAGGAATTTAATATTTATCCCTCCAAGTGAGTCAGCTGCTATGTTAGCTTGGTATTGTCTTAGCCAGAAAGTTATCATCAATAAAGGAAATAGTTGCTTTGTTATTCTGGAGGCCAAAATCAAAACCCAAAATATGTCTTAGGGGAGGTTCAGTAACAAAATAAACTTGAACTGAAAATAATCTCCATGACTTGGGCAAAATGAAATGGGTGATTTAAGCATGAAATTGAACTGGTGTGCCAAAGGTCCTAACTATAATGCTATTGGGAAGGATTCACGGAAATCCCTATATTGGATTAGTCATGCTTTATATGTATGTATGTATTTTTCTCTGCTCCAAACGCAATTCTGGAATAGAGAGAAAATAGTCTTTTGGAAGTTATAACTTTTAATATAGGAAATGTAACTAAATTTTAAATTTTCACTACTATGTAAGAAAACGGAGTATGATTTTGTATCTAATCTCTCTGAATAAATATTTGTTAAATCTCTGGATGGTGAATCCACGCATATCTTAGTAGGTTAACTTTATCCAGACCAATTTAGCAAGCCCCCCAGACGCCAGATACATTTCTGAACTATGTGCACTTCCTTTAACAAGCAGAAAGAAAACAAATTGAGTATACAATCCTATTGAAGCATAGAAACCCAGCATAAGAAGCGTAACTCTACAGACTAACACTGCTTTCCAGTGGCTGAAGCCCCTTTCTTTAAGAAAACCTCTGAAAACCCCATGTGACGGTGGCTCTATACTACTTTCTGTACCTCTGTAAGTGTGTGTGGGGGGCGATCTTACACATGTTCATGATCTTTAATATTAGAATATTGTGTTAAAACACCAACTTTGTGGACTGTAAATTAGAACTACTTTTATGTTGGCGATCTGAACAGTAGGAATACGCTTTAGCAAAAAAAAAAAATAAACTTTGTAAAATACATTTAAAAACAACCAGCTTTAGGCACCCCTCCTTCCCCTTTTTGGCAAAGTAACAATACAGGTAATTCCCTGGCTTCCCAGATCCGGACGTGCAGGTGGCTACAGCACCTGGGGGAGCGCGCACAACTCCAGCGCACTCCATGTTTCGCACAACTCCAGCGCACTCCATGCCCCATAGCCTCCATGTTTCGCGCCGGAGAAGCTGCCAAACAAAGCCCCTGATCTCCGGCAAAGACCCCCTGATCGCCCCTTCAGGGCTCATGACACCCCCCAGGGCTCATGACACCCACAGATCACAGACAGAAAAAGGCGCTGGGGCGCTTGGGTGGGGCGCCAAGGAAAAGAGAACTTCAGACAGGTTCCAACGCATCCGGCTCCCGCCAGCGGAGTTTTTCCGAAGCCGCAGGGTCCGAGTTCGCCGAAGCCTGCCCGGCCCTTCCCTACCTCCCGGCGCAAGCGGGAGCGCCCGGCTGGCGGCCGCTTCCCGGGCGGAGGCGGGCAGGTCGGGGCGCGGGCGGGTGCCCCGGCCTGCCCCGGGCCGCGCGTCTCGGCTCCCGCACTTACCAGGACCAGCAGCAGCGCACCCTCCGCGCTCCGCGCCATCCCCTCGCCTCGGGCAGCTCGCCCAGCTCCGCGCCGCCGGCTCCCCGGTGCCCCCGCGAGCGCGCCCTCGCCCCTCCCCGGAGCCTCCGCCCCCGTCCCCGCCCGAGGGCACCTCCCGGGCGCGGCCCCGAGGTGCCGCTCCAGGTGTGGCCGCCGTGAGAAAATGGAGCCCGGGGCCCGCTCCAGCTGCCCGCCGCGGTGGGAGGCGCACCGTGGACTCCCGCCCCTGGGACGCGCACCTGGGACCGTGACGTCCGGGGCTTGGGGACTGGAGGTGGCAGGCCCCGCCCCGCCCGCCTCCCCTCCTCCCTGGAGAGTGGCCGGGCGGAGGGGGCTTCCGGGCCACCAGGCAAGCGCCAGGCCTGGGCAGTGCAGGTGGCAGGGCCCGCTGGGCACCGACCAGAGGACCCATCGTGGTCTGTCGAGTGGAGACCTGCGGGGTCCCGCTTGCGACCCGGCAGCGGCGGGGCCGGCCACCGAAGGTCATCGGAAGGTGAATGTGCCTTTGGTCCAGAGAGCGGGTGGTGCGGGAAGACCCATGACACCAGGACACCGCCGCCAGGGAGCTGGGCCCGGCTGGAAGGAGCCGGGGTCTGGAACAGGATGTCAGGTGGCTGTCTCCGCGAAAGCGTCTAGCCTCTTGTTCCCTCAATGTTTGCAGGTTGCAGGTTTACTCCTTGTTAGCAAAACTCGAACTAGGAGAAATTTCTAAGCGTGTGAAGGGAAATATATATTCTTCGCTACCATTAATAAATTCTTTTTCACAGAGTACAGTGCAGATCAGAGTGCCCAGCCTAATAGTCATAAGCCATGTGACGTGGACCACCTCTGGGTGCTTCAATTTTCAGATCTGTCAAATAGCATCCAAATACATAAAACAGATGTGAAGATTTAATAATAATAATGATAACAATAATAAAATCTATGTGAAGCATCTAGCTGTTTAGCACACAGGGTCCAAGTAAATGGTAGTTGTCATAACTATCATTAACATTTGCATGAATAAATGTTAAGTTGAACTCCTTGAAAAACACAAACTTAGTATGGGTGTCCCAACACTAGAATCAGCACCAGATTGGGCCATTTCCATTAAAGGTTAGCTATTGTTGGAGTAATGGAAGAACGTTGATTTGCTCCTAGAAAGAGAAGGCTGGCATTAAGTTTGGCCAAAATAGCAGAATGACAATTGCCTTCCCCTCCTTCCCCCATTATCTCCTTCTCCCCGCTCCCCAGGTGTAATTTTCCCAATTTTCCAGGATAATGATCATCTTCTCTTCTCCCCTGTTCCCAACTGCCAAAGACCACCCCCTCTTTGAGTGGAGAGAAGCATATTCTCCTATTGTTTTATGGCTTAATTGCTGAGTGAGTGAACTTTTCTCATACTGTTTAGTGGCAGTGCTTAAGTTGGTTGAAAACTAGGTTATCTAGAAGAGTGTCTCCTTAGTTTAGCAGTTTCCAGTGCCCAGAACAGTGCTGAGTATCATAGGAGACCAATGTTTACAAACTGTTACAGACTGTAAACATTGGTTACATATTAAACTAGGAGGGAAGTATGTCTTATAGTTTCTCCTCCTTTCTCTTGAGCCAGATGTGGATGTTAGCACACATGGTGATAATTCTCATTCCCCAGAGGTATACGAGTTGGGAAAAAAATTCTCATTTCCCATCAGGCTGGGAAAGCTCCTAATTAAACAGGGCAGGCTCTATCAAAACACATCCTAAATTATTCCCGCAAACTATACATAAGTCTTACCTAAAATTAGGGCTCTTGCAATTGAGTCCTATAGGCAAGTATTTATACCTCATTATCAAGACTTTGGTCTCTGTTTAGTAATGAAGATAATTATAGCTTCCAGAATGAGAAATAGGTAATGCAAATTTTATTTCTGTTGAATTATTTAGTCTCTGCTGGAGACTGTCAAAATCAGTTTCAGGGTAGTATTCCTCTGTAAGTCATTAATTTCAAGTGTTTGAAAGTAGGTGTCATAATGCACTCCTTAAAGTCATAGTGTGTCATTCTTGAGTTTGTTCCACTTTAAACATTCTGAAACTTATGACTCAGTGAGGTTAATCCTCAGCTACTTCTCTAGCTTTACCTTCTCCTTTTGTCTGGGATGAAAGTAAATCTATTTGCACAAAAATAAATGTGGTCATTGCTAAAGAAGCACAGATTGCTTTAAAGTGAATTAAGTGTTAGCAAGATGTGAAAGATTGTACTTACAGGTTTATTCCACTTAGTTGAACATAATTGTTAGTGTACTTTTCTTAAGATGTGCATTTATAATGCACATGTTCAGAATATACTTTGCACAAATAATTAACTTTAACATCTAGATATATCCAAAATATTTACCTAAGCTATATTTTCTATAATACTTTGCTTCACATTTACATACAGGTGAGTATAGGTGTCAAGTTATTAGCTTATCAGAATCATCTCTTACCATTATCTAAAATATTTTTATTTAAAAAGTTTTATAAAGATCAATAAGAAGTAATGTGTCCCTTTTCTACCATCACTATCTCCTAACTTCCAACACTTTCCAGCATTAAAGATCACTTTAGAAAGCACTTGGTTAATGGCTTGACAGATGGCGGACCATTTCATTTCAGTGAAAATCCCAGTGACTATATGATTTAGAATTTATTGTTGAAGAGGTGAGAGCTCAATCTTCTTGCTATCTTATGTAACACCTTCAAAGCAAATCATAGGGATGTGGGCTGTTATATCATAAATGGTTACCCTGGTCAGGAGACTTACTCATAGAATGTAAGTTAGATACAGGATGTGGAAAAAACATGAAATTTCTCTGTGTAATGGAAGACAATAAAAAGTTATATGTTGTTTAGCTTCACATCATTTCTTCATTAGGTTAACATTTAATTTGTCTCTGTTCAACAAACATTTCATTTGCATTTATTGGCGATGCAAGATAAATAAGTATTCCTTTATCCAAAGAAATAAAACCAGACACTTATGAAATAATATAACTATACCTACTTATAAACTATTGTAAATGCAGTGGTAGACCTATGTGCAGAATATGATGAGAGCAGTACAGACACTCCCTAATTCACACTTTGGACCATAGATTAGAGAAGACTTACTTGCATTGGGTGGGTGGTGTGGTGAGCTGATTCTGAGAGGATGAGTAGTTGGGAAGAATCTGCTAGAACAGAGTAACTCAAAGCATAGACACTGTTGGAGAAGAGTCAGGAGCTTCAGATTTATCTGTGAAGAAAACACTACTTTGATCACATTGACACAAACAGGGGAGTCAGAAGGAAAAGCTTTTTGCTTGGTGAAATATGTTGAATTTGAACTATTAGAGCAATAACCAACTAGACAAGTTTAGAAGTAGTTAGTGATGAGGAAGCTACACCTGCAGGTAAGATTTAGGAGGCAGAAACAGTCATCTAATTTTTTTATCTTCCTGGCTGTTCTTTCTCAATGCATTTCTCATTCTCTGTCTACCTGTTAAATGCTTAAGGTCTTCTGAATTCCTTCCTTCTTAAAAAGCATGGTTCTGTAGCCATTCCCATTGTGCAAACAGATCACAGCTTTCTTACCTGAGAAACATGGGATATAACATTTGAGTATTTCACAGGGACCTCAAACTGCCATAATAATTTTGTAGGAATAGCAAACTCAGCATACTGACAAAAATGTTTCCCCCTTCTCTCTACACCTCTCCAGCTCAAGCTTGCTACTTCCTTATATGACTAACTCATATGTCTGTCAACTTGGCTACTTAAGCCAGGAACCTGAGAGCCATCCTTGCTTCTTTTTCCATACTTTCCTTGTCTAGTTGCTGGCCTTTCTCCTATTCTCTGTGGCTCTGTTCAAAATGAGTCACATAACCTGCAGAGCAGCAGCCGCCTTGTGGTTTATGGTTATTTCATCCCTATCTGCTACCCCACCCACCCTTCTTTCTTAAGGTTGTTAGTTTCTTGACAACCAGCAGGCCCAGTCCCTCATAGTCACTACATATTAAATAATCAATAAAGATTTGTTGAACCAAGCTCACATACTAGGAGGAACTAATTACAAATAGAATGTAGTATTGTAGTGGCAGATTATTGGACTATCCACTGTGACTGGGCTAATAGTGGGTCTGGTTAGGAAACAGTCTGAGGAATGTGTGTGTGTGTGTGTTGGTTTGTGTCTGCATGCTTTCCCACACCACACCTCAGTCCAGCAGCAGAAGGCTAGCAGATGTGGATATGAGTCAGGGTTGAAAAGGACTTGATTGATAGTGAAGAGATATAAGAATATACATGCTGTTGAGTGTGACAGGAGGGGAATGGACAAGATGAAGTGAGAACTCAGGGCCCTGTTGAGAACAGACAGTTCATTACACTGGATGTGGAGAAATGGGAGAGGAGTGTCTTCTCTTTATTCCTGGAGTAGAAACCCTGGTTTGTTTTCACAGAAGCCAAGGCATGAGTGACTTCATAGACCCTGGGAGTCAGGATGTTGAGATTCTCATGGACTTTCTGGTTAATTGGGCCAAGAGCTGCTTCAAGCTTAGCAGTGAGGGAGAATTGGCCCACTTGGGGATGGGGGATAGTTAATAACAGGGTGGGAAAAGCTTTGTTGCCTTTCTGAGCTATAACTTACAGAGTAATAATCAAAGCCTAGTGGGCAGCAAACCCTGTGCTGTAACACAAGGAAGGTAACAATAGTCAGTCTTTAGAGCACAGCCACAGACCCAATACCCCTGGAGAGGGAGGGAGCCCCTTGCAGTGACTCATGGTGTCTAACTGAGCTGCTCCCACAGACTCCTTCTTGTGAGTCAACATATAAGGACTGATTGCTTGGATGCAAAGTCCCTGAATCAAAAATGCTTTAAGGAAATAGTTAACACTTTTCTTGGGATTTGGGAAATAGCAGAAGGTACTATAGTTGCAAAATAGGTTTGATTTAGTGGAGTAAATAAAATCATCTATTCTTGTGTTTAAGTAGAGTGCTGATGATATCAAGAGATTTTTTTTTTGGAAACATCATCCTAGTTTTAAAATGTGATAA